TTTAAAATATTACTCCTAACATACAAAGCTGTTAACAACCAAGCTCCATCATATATTAAACATCTTATTGTTCCATACTTTCCTAACAGAGCACTTTACTCTCAGACTGCAGGTTTACTTGTGGTTCCTGGAGTTTCTAAAAGTAGAATGGGAGGCAGAGCTTTCACTTATCAAGCTCCTCTCTTGTGGAACCAACTTCCAGTTTCTCTCCATGAGGCTGACACTCTGTCTACTTTTAAGATTAGACTGAAGACTTTCCTTTTTGATAAATCCTACAATGAGACTTAGGTTTCCTGAATTATTCTTCATTTATGCTGCTATAGACCTAGATTGATGGAGCACAAACTGACCACATTTCCTCACTCTGCTGTTGCCTTTAGTCTCTCTCCTCTGCATGCTTGTTATAATTACTTCTATCAATCCATCCATCCATCCATCCATTTTCTTCTGCCTATCCGGAGTCGGGTCGCGGGGACAGCAGCTTCAGAAGGGAGGCCCAGACCTCCCTTTCCTCAGCCACTTCTTCCAGCTCCTCCGGAGGAACTCCAAGGCGTTCCCAGGCCAGCCGAGACACATAGTCCCTCCAGCGTGTCCTGGGTCTTCCTCGGGGCCTCCTCTCGGTGGGAAGTGCCCGGAACACCTCACCAGGGAGGCGTCCTGGAGGCATCTTACCAGATGCCCGAGCCACCTCAACTGGCTCCTCTCGATGTGGAGGAGCAGTGACTCTACTCTGAGTCCCTCCCAGATGACCGAGCTTCTCACCCTATCCCTAAGGGAGAGCCCAGCCACCCTGTGGAGGAAACCCATTTTGGCCGCTTGTATCCGGGACCTCRTTCTTTCGGTCATGACCCAAAGCTCATGACAAATAAATCAGGGTAGGGACATAGATCGACCGGTAAATCGAGAGCTTCGCTTTTTGACTCAGCTCTCTCTTCACCACGACGGACCGGTACAGCGCCCGCTTTACAGCAGACGCTGCGCCAATCCGCCTGTCGATCTCCCGCTCCCTTCTTCCCCCTGTGAGGTTCGGCCAGGAACGAAGCCAGGGTGCAGGCAGGCTTTCAAAGTATAACAAAAAGTTTTAATAATAAACAACAAAAAGAGAGCTGTTGACAGCAAACTTACAAAAACCGTTGATCATCAGCACGAGGGGATCAAAGCTCAAGGAGTAAGGACCGACACAACACATGAAACAATCAACAATGATCCGACGAAAGACAGAGACAGGACAGGGCTTAAATACACAGAAAACTAATTACTGAAACACAAGACACCTGAGGAGAAACACGAGGGTGACAATCAGACAGACAGGGAGCAGCTGAGCTGTGACACACTGGGGAACACTGAAAAACACTAGAAAACTAAGAAAATAAACACAGATCGTGACAGTTAAAGTCTGGTGGTTTTATGTGAGAACCAGTTAAAGTCTGGTGGTTTTAT